TTCTCAAAGCCTCCACGTTTATGTCGTGTCGCTAGTCTGGATCGTGTTGCTTTTGGAACAGAGAGAGAGAGATTACCAAGAGTTTCTCGTCGAAAATTCATGAAACACCATTCCATCTCTCTACTCCTACTTTTCTCCCGTTGATTATGCGTGGATATATGCGTGATCCTTAATTGAAGCCACGATCCGATGAAATCAATGGTTCATGAATATACAACGAGCCTCGAAGGACAGTGACTCGTAAGAGGGAAATACAGATACAGTGATACACCAGCAAGTATATACCTATATTACAGGCAGACAGATATGTATAACACCGATCATTTAAGCGTCAATTTCATAAGGATCTTTCTCGCGTATAATTGTTCCTTTCTTGTTATCCTCCTCGTATACACCTCGACATTCTTCGACATTCTTCGACATTTTGATTTTTACCATTTCATCATCATTTGATCATTAGTTGCCTCGTTGTTATTTTTATCGAGACTTCGAAAGGAAAGATTCTTACGAAATTACGAACATTTGCAACAAGGGGACATATGAAAATTCGAATAAATTATATATAGAGGATTATAGGGATATGGAGTTCGAGGATAGAACAACGGAGATATACGCATCCGTATACAGGTATTTCACGTACACACTGTTCTATGTGAACAGATAAGGATAAAAATAGGAAAAAGTAGAAACAGATAGACAGAGAAAGAGAGAGAGAGAGAGAGAGATAAAGAGAGAAAGAGAGAGAGAGAGAGAACAGTAATACGCAATGTCGCAGTTTTGTTGCTGTGTCTACCTTCAGACTCACTCACACACAAATCTTTTTCCACCAACCAGCGCGTCTACATGAAGTTCGCTAGACGAAAAAAGAGAAACACATAGAATTCACACGTTAGATGATGAAACAGTGATGAACAGATTTAGTGACACGTTAGCGCGTGATCGCTTCTCGATCTTCTACGAACAGTTTTCTTACGCGAATTTCGTGGGGGAAAAATTTTTCTCTCTAAGCTAAAGAGAGGAGAAAAGATTGATTTTTAATCTATATGACGAACGAGACTGTTCGATCAATCAATGAAGATTATTATTTTTAATATCGTTTAAGTGAAATTTTTATTTTTTTTCTTTTCTTTTCTCGATATCGTGTTTAGAGAATTTTCTTCACGATTCACACGAAAACAACGATCGACACAAGTTACGATTTTAAGCGAAGCACGGTGATAATTCTGTCGACAAGACTTTATCAAACTCGAGGAAATTCCCTGGAGGATGGGGATGCTCGAAGGAATTCCTCGATCAACCGTGCAAATTCGTCGGTCGACGTCTTCACTCGTCGAAGACACCGTCGTCCCTTTGCGTCGTGCACAAAACACAATATGATTTCGATGGTGAAAATCTTTTTTTTTCTTTTTTTTTTTTTTTTTCCAACACGAAAATATAGACGCAGAGACATTAGCCGAAAAAACGACTGATCCGGTTCGATCTTAATTTCAATTCAACATGAAACTTGTACAGAAAATAATCATCGATTGGATATAATTAAGGATATTTCAATTAATCCCGAATTAGTCGTTGTATATCGTGGCGAGATACATTGATCGTATCACACAGAACATTTAGACAGTTACAATGGCAGTGTCATTAGCTTTGATAAGTGCATCTATGTATCTAGTTACTTACCAACAATGATGGCCAATACGATTATTCCGATGACGCCCATGATGATCATCATCTAGAAGCAGAAAGGCAAAGAAAAAAAAAAAAAAAAAAAAAAANAAAAAAAAAAAAAAAAAAGGAGTGAAGGTTCAAATCGAAACGAACATTTTTCAATTTTTCGAATCGGAAGGATTTTTATTACCTTCAGATTTTGTAACCAGAACTTCCTCTTCAGTTTTCCTGCTTGTTGTTCAAATTGCGACGCTCCTTGCTGAAGCGCGTCTAAAAAGAGCAAATTATTATTATTCGGGAAATATTCTATTTCCAATAGTTCCACAAACACTTCTTATTATATTATATTATTTTTTTTATATTATATTATTTTATTATATTATTTTTTTTTTTTTGAAAAACATAGTAAAATAAAAGTTACAATAAAACGAAGCGAAGATTTATTTCTACAAACGTTGTTCATTCTTAAATTTTTTTAACCAATTATTTTTTAACGATCTTTCAACTTGTTTAATTGCAAAAGTTGCCAGTGGAAAAGTTGTGTTAATGATCTGAAACTGCGTGCAAGGGAAAAAGATCGACGATGGTCAGCCTCGTAACGTGGCATCGATTCGAGAACGTCACGAGTAATCGATATCAGCGTGCAGAGAGACGCGCAGGGTCGAACTACTTCAATACCTCGCGAGAATGAATGAAGAGAATATGCTTGGAGAAACGAGCAACGACAATTGATTCCTTAATCATCCATGTGCTTCGCATATTATGTTTTAATCCCAGTTTTAATCGTTGTACGTGTGTCTTCCTTCTTTTAAAAAAAAAAAATCTTTTATCGTATTTCTTCGACATGCGCGACAAACAACGGACAAAGAGGACACGTGTCTTCCTTTTTCGATTTTACTGCTCGTCAAATTTAACCTTTTCAATTTTATACATATCCTTTCCTCTTCGCGTTCACATAATATATTATACATATCTCATATCTCGACTATTGCTTACTTTACCGATAGCAATTAAAAAAAAAATGTATTGGAGAAAAGTTTTCGAATTAATATTCGATATTAATATTCGAAGAAGAAGCAAAAATACGAACTACGAAATAATGAACATGGATAACATGGATCTTACCTGCTCGATCATCGAGCTCGGACAGCTTTTGATCACGCTCCAACACCTTTTCAACGTTCGTTTTCATAATGTCGACGACCTCGTCCACCTGCGCCTGCGTCGCCTGCAGTCGTTTCTGCGAGGCGATCTGCTGAGGCGTTCTCGGACCTCCGACGATTCCATCGGAACCTGCACCTGCACCCGCAGCAGCATCCGGTGCTAGACCGCCTTCGGTGGCCCTGTAATCCATTAATTTTTCATTCAAATTATCCGAATCTAACCAATTTCTATCACGACTTCGCGCATCTCCCCTTCCTCCTGCCTTTCGTTCACGTTTCGCTTAATAAAATTCTCGAGGAAGGGGGGCCTCGAGAAGGAAATTATATTTAAAATATCCTCGATGGGGAAATTTCAAATTAAAAGTCTCATTTTCGCTGATAAATCCCCCTCCCCTCCTCCTCGAGAAAGGAAATCGAGTGGCAAATAGAGGAAGTAGTGCACGTGTTGGAAGATTAAGAATCTCAAAGTGCGTCCGGATTGGTTCTCGCGAGATAAGGGTTCAAAATGAAAATAAATAACCCGGTGTCTTTTCCTTTTTTCTTCTTCGTTTCTGTGGTCGAAAGTTAGTAAGACATTTCGTTTTATTAAACTTGGAAGATGAATCGAGCGACGAAAGAGAATAAATAATAAAATATCCTGAACACGCGGACACAAGGATTCCTTGTTTCTCGTGGTTTGGATTTCGTTTTGGATTCAAATTCTTCGAATATTTTTTATTTTTCCTTTGACGAGGGGAGGAAAAAACTTTTCAGAGATTAAATATATTTTAAATGAAGCAATGATACAATAATTATGTTTTCAGGTTCATAGCGATATTACAACTCGATGTAATATTTTCAACCTTCGAGGGCGAAGGTAAACGTAAAAGGTCAAAGTTCGTGATATATTTCGGAAAGCTGGACATTTAGATGCGTTTATTATCGTCGTATCAAGAAAATGATTAAATTATTCTATACGGAAAGAACAATTTTGAACAACGAGATGCAGACACGAAAATCGATTTTGCTCGATAAAAGATTCACGTCATATTTTTTTTCAAGATAAAAAAATAATCAAAATGTTCTTTTCATCTAGAAGAACTATTATCCTTTTTTCGTTATTCATTATTACTCCCTCGAGATGTTGAAAAAAGGATAATGACCACGTAAATAAAAAAAGAGAAAAAATTTACATCGACTTGAAGTCGGGCAAAGGTCTATCTCGTACCTCTCGGCTGACCTTTCGACCAGGTTAAGACCTTTCAAGGAACAACGAGGATGTTAGTTTAATTAACACGACAGATTCGCGTTGGTGTTTGAACACCAACCGTGGGCAACTTTATCGCGTCCCGTTGAATTATCGGCACCTCCTCGATCTTGATTTACTCCGAGGATCTCCTTTAATGATCTATTTCCACAAGCGTGACAAACACCCGATATATTTTATTCTATATCGGTCTGACTAATTAAAGAGATCACCTACGCAAATAACTTCGCCTCTGAATACCGATATATCCCATACACGTGCGATGTTGAAACGTTATTAACGTTATTTCTCGAGTGTTTCCTTTTTCAATCGGAAATTTTACTCGTCCTCCGTCGTCGGTTAATTAAAGAAGCCTCGATAAACTTTTTAAACTCGAATAACTCTTTCTTTCCTTCTTTCTTTCTTTCTTTTTTTTTTTTTTTTTTTCCTCTCGTTGCGTTATTTCTCACCTATATATAGATATATAGGTGATTGATCGCCTATATACAACCGTGCTCGTTTTCGATCGACGTGTATTTCGATTCCGGGCGCGTGCTCGAGATGTCTAAATCAGGGTTTTACGGACAAGCACCGATAGCGGATTAAAAAGCGGTCGAAGAGGTTGCGGGTTTTATTTTTGGCGACAATCGATCGAACGAGCGAGTGGTAACGGCCGATCGATTCGAATATCGCCGGCCAGTCGAATGTCACTGTGCGAGAGGGAGTAGATGAATGTAATTGAAGATAAGGTACGAGAGGAGAGCGAAATCCTCGAGCGAGATTCTGCATGGGAGAGATCACGGATTATTTCTCTCGTGAAAAAAATTTCCGTATCGGTTTGGAGAAGAAGAATTTTCGAGTGGAAGTGGGAGGCGTTCACCGGGTTTTAAAGCCTTTATGCTTTCAAACGGCTTATATAATCGGATTAATATATCGATCGAGAGGGAGGGGAGGGTGTATCGGTTATCGTCATCGAATTATCTTCGAATTTTCCTGCGAAATAATTGTTATTGAATATCATTTCAATCGTACTAATCGTGCGTTCCGTTTCACCATTTCGAGCCGAAACACGAATCTTATTGAAAATTCGTGCTTTTGCGCGAAACGGATGTTTCACTGTATCAAACTTTCGATCGTTCAAACTTTTGAACGGTGACGTGTTCGTACAATTCGTACGAATCGAAAACTTTCATCTTTGTTCGGAGGCTTTGCTTTTTTTTTTTTTTTTTTTTTTTTTAAATATTCGCATCGATATGCTAAATTTAGAATTATTGAAGAACAAATGACGTCAACGAAACATAACCGTATATATACCCCCTGAGCGATTCGTTATTGCATGCGTTATCTCTTCTTTTTAGAGAAACAAACGGCTCGTGAAGAAGAACGATTTGTCTTGAAGTTGACTTCGTAATGCAACCTATATGACGTCAAATACTTATCGTTTCAATTTAAAAATTTTTAAGCTTCGCTTGAAAATTTGTAAGGAATCAAGTCTGAACTAAATAAGGTTTAATGTAACGTGCAGAAAGAAAAATAGAAAGACGAGTATTTAAAACAAAAAAAAAAAAAAAAAAATGAACGAGAAACTTTTTTTGCAAATAAAAGGATCGTTTCTTTAATGATGACGATAAAGAGATTCATTTTTTTTATTCTTTGAGAAAACTTTATCTAGATATATTGTTTAAACGATGGTCAACATGTTGTGAGATTTTTTTCAAGAATAATCTATTTGTAGTTAACATAATATTTCGCAAAAGTCATAGAACATTGCTGCAAATATGTTCGTCATTGATTATCTAAATATAGAAACTGCGAATAGAGCGTAGAGTCGGTTGTGTTTTATGATTGATTGTTACCAGTATGTGTCTAATTAAATTTTCATTAGCCAAAATATTCACGCGATATCGATCTTAAGCAAACGAAATTTATCAAATTTCATCATTATCACAAAATCATAAAATTAAAAAATGAGAAAGGAATCATAAAGAAAAAAAGAAAAAAATAAAGAATAAGAATAAATTTTCATTCACAATTATTCTCAAAGTAGAAACTCTGACTGAATTTCGAAACTAAAAGTTAACTAAATTTTGTGAAAAAGTTGTAGGGGACAATGTCGGTGGTAAAATCAGGTTCAATGATACAAAGCCGTGAGGTGTAGCTCTTTGAGGCTCGTAAACTTCGATTGTAAGAGAAGATGTACGAGATCGGATATCAGAATTCAATGACCGCAATTCTATTATTCGAAAGAAATCGTCTTCACGCTTCTGCTTTAAGCTTTGCTGCATTTTATTGGAAATTCTGGCGTGTGGTGCGAATAAGCCATGCAAGCTAATCGATTGGCGACAGTGGTCTAGGAAATTGCGTCTTAAAATCTATCTTATATTTATAATCTCATTTTTCCACACGATCATGATTCATAGTCATTTTTGAAAAATATTGATCCAAGAATTTTACGTGAAAATTTTAATCTGCACATTTGCATATATATGTATATATCTTTCAGCACAAATTGTTTATTTCACGTTCTAACGTACGTTCTGATTTCATGAATTCATTTGTTAAATTAATTCTTGCGTAATATACGAATGACGAAAAATGAGGTTACAATCAAATGCAAACTCGAAATAATAAGAAATTTATAGGATAAAGATTCGTTCGTTTATCAATGTCACTAAAAATTCGAGGATTTTTCAAGATAAACTCATAAATGTTTTCCATTCCTCTTTTCTTTTCAACGAGATGCGATTATTACCAGATTAAAAAACGACGAAAATTGTAGAGAACGTTTAAAACGAGATTTACATTTCTGTCTTGAATAATTTATCGATTTGTTTGCGTTCAATTCATTCGGCAGGCTTAAACAGACTCGATATTAATTTATCAAAAACTAGAAGTTACACGTTTCCGTATTCTGTAGAATAGATTATAGATTCTCGTAGATTGTAGATGCCTCGATATAGATTCGTTCGCAGGGAATCACCAGTTCACACGAATTTTTCTCGTCGATTTTACTCGAACAGAAATACACTTTTCGATGAACACAGAATCGTTAAAATTTCGTGGATTTACTCACATGTTGTTCGTCAGTCGCTGTTGGTTTCCTGAACTAGAGCTATCCGCTGACTTGCCAACCCCGTCAGATGACCACGTACTTTTCACGAGCGACTGTCACCGACTAGACAGCCGCGGTATTGATAAAATTTCCAGCGACACCATCGCGCCGCCGCTTCACCGTTATCTCGATCTGCTCTCGAACCGTTTGAATCGTGTCTTCCATATTTTCAATTTTAACTCTTCAACGAATTTTCTTTTCTTCTACGAACGATCAATTTGATTAAAAATCTCGTCGAATATAATTATATGCGAAACATACGGATTAATATAATATTCTAATGGAAATTTTCGCGTTGGTGATTGAAGATCGAGAATCGATGTATCGAATACGAAAGTTCGATACGTGGCTTGGAAGAGAGAGTAATGCGCATGTACAGAAAGTTCCAGTCAATAAACGCCAGTCAGCCGCAACCCTCATGCGCAAACACACCCTGAGAGGAAGTCAGGGATGTTATCGTTGTTTTCGAGAGCCCTGACTTTTGAATCGTGAAAATAGGCCAACGACCGCCATCATTATTCTCATTATTTTGTAACTGACTAATTTATTGTTATTATTTCGTGATCGAATATGACGTCGATATTAATAAAATGATTGAAAAACGAAGATTTGTTCAAGTCTCGTTTGACGATTTTAGGGGATTAATCTTTTGAATAAAATTGGATACATTTTTTTTGTTTAAAAGTACATTTCCGTGATTTAAGTTCATACGGTCCTGGTAACGCGATGAGAATACGCGCACGAGCATCCGTAAGATGTTTTATTTATGTCTCCGTTACGATTTTTGTCGCGAGGTGAGGATACCATTGTGAATTTTGCTTCGTAAAAATGTCGTTGAAGATTGGTAAAAAAAGACGAGAAATGGATCGTTCGTCGAGTGAGTTTATTGATCATATATTTTGTAAAATTTTAAAAGATTATTGGCAACAAAAAAATTTGATAAAAAAATAGCTTACATTTATCCACTAATTTGTAATGAAAGTTGTTCATAATTTATTTTATTAATTGAGCCAAATTTTTATTTTGTTATTACATTTTATATATTTCTAATTATATATTATTTTTCATTAAAAGTATTAAAGTTAGAAAAATCTTTTTATGTTATTTATTTATAAATAGTGATATTTATTATCATTAAAATTAATCGTATAGTTTCAGAATAAAATAATTTTGACGTAAAAAAATATATATATTAGCTTTCAAATGTATTTATAATGCGCATAATTGTATTAAGATGGCAGCACGCATGTGATTTGAATTTAAGATTTGTATCATTGCAATCTTAAAAATTACATCGTGAAAGCTGATAAAAATTAATGATTGTATCTAATACTGATAACTAATGAATTAAAGATTAGATTGGAAGAAGAATCTAATTGCTTGTTACATTTCTTGATAATAATTTTCATAATAAATGTGACGTCATGGGTATCGCCATCTTTATCGTATGTCATGTACAGTTGTAAAGTGTATTCGTCATCGAAATAAAGTTGGGGATACCTGTCATTATTTTTAAACAATTTGCATCCCCATTAAATATTTCATAAATTCTTCATTTTAAAGTAAGTTGTTGTAATTTTCTATTTTAAAAAAATGGTACAAATTTGTATTTCTAATAAAATATTACGATATTATAAACAGAGTACATATTTGCTTATATTTTATTATATTGTATTTAATTTAACGATATTGTTATATTTTTATTCTATTGAATAAATATAACATTTATTAAATATTATAGTAGTATTGTACACAATTGTAATTCAATGATTTTATTCGTTCAAATATTTCATAAATTTTTAGGTTATGGGTGTGTGCAGTAGTTCATACATATTGTTGCTCTATCCAAAAAAATTTTTCTTAAAATATACTTTAAATTATTGTTAATTATAATTGATCATGTTTTCTATTTCATATTATATGTGATTTTTTTGACATTCTTTTACAGAAATATGGATGGCAGTGGTAATTCTAGAGATGATATGGGTGGTCCACGAAATTCACAGCCAGCTTCTACAAAAAAGTTGCAGCAAACACAAGCAACCGTTGATGAGGTTGTGGGAATAATGAAAGTAAATGTAGAAAAAGTATTGGAAAGAGATCAAAAGTTATCAGAATTGGAAAATCGTGCTGATGCTCTGCAACAAGGAGCTACTCAATTTGAACAACAAGCAGGCAAATTGAAAAGGAAATTTTGGTGGAAGAATCTCAAAATGATGATCATCATCGGTATTATCTGCGTAATTATTTTAATCATCATCATTGGTGAGTGATATTTATAAAAAAAAATAATACACAAACATAGGTTTATAAATTATAGGTTTAAAATAGATACATATTTTAATCTTTGCAATAGCTTCAATTGTGTCAGGCTCGTCGGATTCTGACAATTCCTCTAACTGATAGCATTATACCAAATGGAATATAAATGCTCTGGATTTGTTATTTTGTGTCCTAAAATGAAAGTTAACCTCACCAGAGTAAATGTTGGGCGCACAAAGTTAGACATAATGTGATCGTTAAAAATCAAGATCCGTACGGACTTGTTGAACGAATTACGATGAAGTAATATGAAAAAAAAAAAAAGAAAAAAAGAAAGATAAGAAAAAAAATATATTTTTGAGACTTAAACTTATTCAAGCGCACAATTATTAGATTAATTGCGCAGTATTAATATATGGGTGGCCTTTTGTAAAACTGTGAATGGACAATACATTTCATAATGTTATCTTGTTACAATGCTTATTGTACATTTATTAATGATATATAATATATAATATAACGTTTATACTTTTTTTCATCGGTATTCAAATAATTCAGGCTTCCATTTCGCCTCGTTCCTCTCCAAATATCAACATCCAATAGCTCCACGCACGATTTCTACATTATAGTTTTAATGTAATGTAGCGCCATACGATAAGAAAAGAATTCGAACTCGTCAGTGCGATCGTTTGATTCCAAAGCCGATCGTGATTACGTACCTAGAATGTTCGCGCTCATAAATATTCATGTACTGACGTTCTCTTGCGAATACCGTCATGCTTCTCAAAGTAAAGTGTCACCAAGACTATCGAATTCGGTGAAACTTGATTCGGTAGAATCATCCTTCACCGGACGCGAATCTAATTTCCATCTTGTAGAAAGTGTGCAAACTTTCCTATTCTTTTTTTTTCCTTATATCTTGAAACTTTGTCGTTTAAGTGAAACTGATAATAATCGTGTTTACACTTAAAATGCGCATGTTAAGAATATGTCTGCGCATTATTCGATTCGTTCATAATCCAGGAGATAATAAGATCGATGTTTTCGATCATTTGACCCGGCTAAACAAAATATCACGAACGATACGAAATTAGTGCATTGACGATGGCCAATTAACAAAGAAGTGAACAATTTAGACAAATAACCCCGGAACAGATAGTGCTAAAACCTTGAAAGGATGACGCGTGAGTCGATGGTCAAGGTCGGTCTGTGATTGAAGAACGATTTAACGGGACAAGAAAATAAAATAGACAGTTATAAGCGTCATTTCTTTTTCCTTTTTTTTTTTTTTCTCGATCATTCAATCTTATTTATAACGTTACTTTATTTTCTAGTCAAAATTGAAAAACCTGTATCTCCACATAGGAAACTGGTATTTTCTTATATTACGTTTACATTTCATAGAAGAATTTTATTTATTTCGAAAGAATGTTTGACAAACGAACAAGGTTCTTTCGCACGGCATCTCGAGTAATCCCAGTTAATTCGAATTACATAATTACATCTGCGAAGCATGCAAGAGAGCATGTAATTGTAAGTGTATCATACGAGTCGATATACCGGTTGAATTATCTTTAAATTAAATAGAGATTAGTAATTATATCTAGTTCCTGATATTTAACGGTAATAATTGTTTTTACGTGTCAATCACCAGCTATGCCGAATGAAATGGCGAAACCGCAGGTATTGAACATTATTAATGACAACGCGAAATCAAAGTCACGTGTCGAATAGTGTCAATCGACGAGGCAGGATTCTGATTTTTCCTGTAAACCGAGACAGAAATCTCTGCCGCTTCATTCATATACCTATCAGTCGGCTGACGACCGTCCAACCGGACAGTCGCTTGTGAAGCGCGTCTCGTGTCACCGATATCGTAGGTCAAACGACCCTTAAAATCATCTCCATCAATGAGAATTGTCTCGAACGTTTACCTCTCGGCACTCGTCCAACAAATATCGAGTCAAGGAATCGTGGAACGAGTGAAAGTTTTAAAAAAAATCAGAAGATCTTTTATCCTGAGTTATATTATCATCGAAAGATTTTAATTATTAAGGATTTGTTATTTCTACGCTTGCTATATTTTTTCCAATTTTTGAATTTTATCGATCAGTACGATTAGTTTTTGGAATCGTAAAAAAAAAAAAAAAAAAAAATCATAGATGTAACGATTTCAGACAGAAAGTTTGCCTCGCGGAAATCCATTTGTATCGCGTGTTCGAAATTGGCATAAAGTATATATTGTAGAATTTTCGTAGCGTGGTGTGGTGGGGCTGGTTGTTTTTCTTTCTGTTTGGTAGTTCGGCACCCGGTCTCGGCACGCGTTTCAGAACGGGTAATAGTGGGTATCATTCGAAATCGCGTTACCAATAAATATTATATCGTTGTGAGAAATATTCATTCTCGAGACGCGATACCATCGATCATTGTAATGTTCGCAATCGAAACATAGATCGAATATTTCCGTTTTTCGTCAAACGATAGACATGTGACGAAACTGATAATTGTCCACTAGTCTTTCGAATGACGAAACGCGATTTCGCTATACGTCTATATTATAAACCCACGCGTAACTGACTTATCTGTACTTTATGAATATTGAGAAACGAACGAAACGGTCAGTCGGTATCGTGTTTTGGTACTGGTGTTCATGTGTGAAAAGATCATCGAGCTCGCGAGAGGCACACTGTCGAGTGGTGATCGATTCCCGGCTAAAAGAGATCGAGGATCATTCTTCGAGAAAAAGGCGATAAATGTGTCCAAAGCGGGGATCGTGGTCGATAAGTTACCGAGGCAAGAGAGGAAGAGGAAGAAACGGCCAATAATCATTAGTGAAGTTTCGATCTAGCTCGACCTAACCTCTTTCTTTCTCCTCGTCTCGTTTTTTTTCTCCCCTTTTGCCTCTATCCTGTCTCCTTTCGTCGATCTGCCCATTTCTCGACCTTCGCCACATCGTTTTAATTTTCGTATTCAGTGTCGTGCACGATTTTCGATCAATTGAAGATCCAACATGGCATCATCGTCGATCATCGAGGGAAGCGACGAGTATGGTTTGGGATATCAAAACACGTTGGTAAGTTCATTTTACTAAATAACGTTTATCGTTTTATTTCTCACACTTTTCCTTATTTAACTCGTACAATTTTTTTTCTCTTAATTTTTTGACCACTAGTTCCTATATATTTTTCAAGAGAAAACACGATAAATCAATCGTCTATTCGAACGATAAACCGAGAAGATAAATTATTATCGTTACAAGTTGAATAACAATAACAAGGGCTAGACAAGGCATAAAGAACGAGGCAAAAGTGACGCCAAGCAAGGGTTGCGAACCAATTTTCATGTTTATTCTTGGCCACGATGCGCCGCTAGCCGTGAATAGTTCGGTTGGGAACGCGATTAATGTCTGGGACAGACACACCACGTGCTTCTTTACTTTCTCGTGTGCATTTTGAATATTGTGCCCACGCATTCTTGCACCAACCCACACTCAGCTGATTGTCAGCTGATCACCACCTGAGCGATCAGCTTTCGCTAATTTATTCGCGAATCGCGACAACCACGTATATATACGTATGTTTACATGTCGCGAACATATCGTGCTACGATAGAGTCGTTTTAAATAAAATCGGTGTTCGCAGTTTGAGTTATGGAAAGCGTTTACAGGTGCTTTTCCATCGAGTTTTAGGTTATCTCTTATCAGCAGATTCGCGTGTTTGTTCTGGTTTCGCGGGATTCCTAGCCTCGATGTTTATTATCTAGCTTTGCGAGCTATCGGATTATTACACGAATTGCATCACCAGGTATAGTTCGTAACACGAAGGAAAGGATTCGTAACACAGGAAACATCACGAAAAAAAAAATATACTATAAATTAAGATTTTAATTAAGGTATAAATTAAATCGTTTTTCGTGTTATAGCAAATTTTGTTTATACGAAGAACCCGTGAGAATGTCTGCGTGACCTAATATCTCTTATCGGAAGTACGTAGATCGAGTGGAAGCAGTTTCAATTGACTGCCGTCCACTTAATCGACGAGTAAATAACAATATAAATTAATAGTATTTAATATTAAACTACGTTCAGATATAGATCTGTTTACGACAAAAGGCGTCGTTGTTTATATAATTTAAAAATTCAATTCAGATCATCCATTAAATCAATATGTTCCTAATAATCGAGCGATAAATCATCGTTCTTATTCGATATAATAAAAAAAATCACGCTATTTTCTCATGATTTTGAAGTTTATCCAACACTGAAATACGTGGCCCGTGTAAGCGATATCGTCCTTTACTTTTTTACTCTTATGCGTGATTTTGCAATGTAATCGTCTGTCTAGTCTGCCAATTTCGTCGCGAATTTTCAGACCTTGTATTATAGCAAGCACGAAGACAATGCGTCCTCGAATGGTCGCGTCACTTTCGAAACACCCTGTGCAAAATACCGGGGCAGATTGCCATTTCTCGATATCTCTTCTCGTCTCGTTCTCTCTTTTCGCCATTCGCGAAAAGAGAAGTTGCGAAGAAGGCGAAACACGGCAACGATCGCCATTATATAAATCCATTTTTGATAAAATAAATCGGATGGAACGGAATATTTTCCTTTCCTTTCGTTCGTTGTTCTATAAATAAAGGATCTCTCCCGACACCAAATGCCGAACACCAGTCCATTTTTTGCCCCTTTCTAATGATATCGATTCACAGAATCGGCGTTTTAATATTTATCGCGAGGAACAGAGTGAATAGACTACCGTTCACGATACTGCTATCCGCCGAAGGGCCGAATAAAAACTCATTTCTCCGTAACAGTTATTGGCAGACGGACAAGAGAAACAAAAACCGGTAAATTACATCCTCCTGGTTGGAGGAGCTCTCTCGGAGTATCTTCTTCTTTTTTCCCTTCCCCCTCCCCCTCTCTGTTCCATAGGTATGCACTAGGTAGAAAATTTCTTGCTCGACCCGCGATCGTGGAAATTGATCTTTCTCCAAGTCGTTGATTATCATTTCTGCGTTCCATTTACATTTTACTTCGAGTCTGTTTACTCGGATTAATCGGGTAATTGGATTATTTAATAATTTATTTTCTTTCATTTTATTCGCTCTACGTTCAACTTGTACTTCGGTTCATTGATAGTTTATTACGATGTAGTAAACCCATTCATCATGAATCAACTACTCGATCAATTGACTTTAATCCCTGTACTGGTTCGTTTAATACTCGACTCGGGTATTCCTATACCGCATCTTATACCGTTCAATCAAGAATTCTTTGTCCCCTCTACGATTTGATTTCTTTCTAGTATTTTCTCGATTTAAAACGTTAGTTGTTTTAATATAAACGTTTTAATTGTTTTAAGTGTTTCCTGGTTTGTTTCCAAGTGAAACAAGGATTGTCATGTAACGACATTGTCATTCTATTAACGTCGATTAACATTCAGTTCGAAATTCCGCAAAATGATTTCTCCTTCTTCTTTTTTTCTTTTCTTTTCTTTTCTTTTTTTTTTCATCTATTCAGTAGCGTCTTCTCCTTTGACACGTTTAAAACAAACGCAATATTCATCTTTTTTTTTTTTTTTCCAAGGCAATCAAGCTCATTAAAAAAACGCAAACTGATCAAATATGTATGATGTAATCTCAAGCACACGCTTTTTTTAATTGTCGATAATTTTGATTTGTTAGTGCGAAACGATATTGAATCGAGATTATGAAATACGATTTACATTGATAGATTTTGGACTGATAAAAAAAAAAGGAAAAAAATAGAATAACCATAATATCGGTAATTATTACAATCGTTAAAATCTATATTATAGTTCTTTGCACTACTCACGATTTAGATATTGTACAAGTCGGAGTGTTTAAGATTATTCTTCCATATTTTATGAAATTATATCCGTTTTATAAATATTTCGAGCCAATCGATGTATCTTTTTTTTGGAATAAGATTACAAATCTCTTCTCGTCTCGAAAGAAGCTTGTTTAAATTCATTTTTCATTCAGAGGCAAAAGACGTAAGGGATATTAATAACTTAACCTAACATTTTTAAACAAATTGTGGCTATTATTCAAATAGATATGACAACTTACGCGTTAAGATAATCATAAACAACGATAATTGCTAAGATTGATACAAGACTTCTGTAGTATGATCTTCTGACACGAGTAATATATCAAGAAAAGAAATATATCAAGTATCATTTTTCTTTTTTTCCTTTTCATTCTTCCATTTTATTTTTAAACTCTCGATAAATCTCGATTCGATGCTCGAGAAGATGGGAAATTCGATTTTATGCGGTAAAATTGGAAAAATTGTAATCGAAAACCGGAAAAACTTGCACCATCGAGTTATTATCGTAATTAGTTGATTCTTAATTGCATGGAAAGATGAGATCTATTTATTGAGTCACGCTTATCCCCACTTCTTGGCGATCTGCTAATACATTTATCCATTGTAAATCAATCTTCCATCGCGTTAAACATTCCAGGCACGAGCCGCCAACTCTGCGAAAATATCCATATATAAAATTCCAACGATAAAAAAAAATAGCACGTGATCGATCGAATCCCGTATCATCCGTTCAAAAATATATCATTAAATTTATCATTTATATCTGCTCATAGTACATCGATTCGTCAAATCTTGATTTAGAAACTTGGATTTTCTCGTTTCTTTATCAGTAGAACCGATTTTTCCTGGTTTAAAGAGACACGAATTAATTCTCTTAATCATCGTAATGATATACGTAATGATGTACATAAAATTTTATTATTTATACTAAGACGATATTTGAGCCAAGGCCGGTGGTTTAACAGGTTTTCGAGATGCATTAGAGTGAGAAATTTACACGAACGAAAGTTTACGAGTCTAATTATCGGCGTGATTAGTTTCTATCATCTAAGACGTCCTTGATGAAATATACGAAGTCGATAACGGTCCTCGTCGTATCAAGGTTTCTCGATGATAATTCCCCTATAACCACGATATTTTTGCATTCGTTATTATTTTAACCTCCATCAACTTGTCAATTCTTGATGGAAAAAATTTTTACTATTCTTTTTCCTTTTTTTCTTTTTTTCCTTTTTTTTTTTCTTTTTTTTTTTTTTTTTTTTTTTTTGCGTTCGTCGATACGAATCGAATGGAAAATGATCGGTATAATTTTTAGCCTATTATGCCAACCTAATTTACGAGCGATAAGGTACAACCACTTTGTTGTTACGTATACTCGATTGTATATAAACGTAAGTTTATATATAACGACCTCGCATATATAACTGGAACGCAAATATTGACGGTTGACTATAGCGATGCGCAAGTGATATCAGCCAGCGATGAACTTAGCCTTCCAATTTACCTATACGCTTTTCTATTTCGATATCTATCATTTTTAACTCTCCTCCCTCCCTCCCTCCCCCTAACGTTCAATTCGTCAGAATTCATCGATTTCGAATTCTCACATTTCCACATATCGTCGTTCACACATTTTCTCCGCGAATCTTCTTGTTGCGAAAAAATTGGGAAAAAAGTTTCAAAATTCGGGATATGCAATGCAATTTTTCATCGATGGATGTTCCTCCACTCGACGCGTAAAGCTCTCGTTTTTCAGGAAGCGAAACGATAGCTCGGTGAACGTCATGGAACACCGAGGCATCGTTTTCCCTGTGGCACGCGATCCGTTCCACCTTTCTTTCTCCTTTTCCACGGTTGGACGCGCCTTGGACGAGGAGGAAAGGAATCCTCGATGCAAAAGCGTGTTGCATCGTCTTCGAATTACGCGAACGTGGCGGAACACGCCGAATATTCGACGCGGGATTGCGTAAGCGTCGCGTAGAATGCGACGCGGAAACGGAGGGTTCGATTATCGATTTTTCTGCGGCTCGATCAGCCGGTTCGCCTTGCAACTTGTCTTGCATGCTACGCGCGCTATATATACGAGCCACGCGTATACTTTTATTCGCGCGTCTGTGAAATTATTCTCTCTTCGCGACCCCTTCGCGCGTAACATCGTCCACATTCCATACTTCTCGATGGTCTTGGTCCCGTTATTATTATAGTTTCGTTCGATGTCCTGA